AACGCAATCTGCGGACGAGCGGACGCCAACCCATTATGGGCCCCATTGAGTTTGACAGAGAAGAGCAGGTCAATTGCGTCATGGAGGAATACCTGGCCGAATCATGCAAGGGTGATGCAAACGTCTCATTGTGCGGTGTCGATGAGCCAGCCGACTTGATCACGCTCAACCCTCTATTTGATGTTGAGGACAGTGGCTGGGTTTTCAGCAAAGACATCACCGGATATGACGTCAGATATTCACTGCCTCCCCGGCGGTCGACCCTTGTGACAGCGAGCAGGCTTAGTTGGCGCCTACTTGATACCATGCATCAAGAAACGTGGAAGATGCACCATAGCATGTTCACTGAGATGTTTCCGCAAACAGTAGCGCTACATTATGGCCTCAAGGCAGTCTTTGCCCCACACCCTGTTTACCTGGAGCGATCCTGGCCTCTAGAAACCGTCGACAAGGTGTTCAATGGCGGCAAAGACCACACGGCCGGTGGGCCAGGGAGCCCTTTTTCCTTTGCTAATGAGCACAATTTCAAGGGCACGACGTGGTACTATCATGCAGAGTTCGCTGGGCGACTATGGCGCCGGTGGTTGAGTGAAAGGAAGGAGGGCGATGTAGAGGACGAAAAGCATGCTGACACAGAAGGACAATCCCGGCTTTGTTTACGGAGCATGCTGTTTCATCCGATCAAGTGGGAATGACAGTCAGGTGGGCATTCAGTGGGCGAACCGATATGATGGAGACAGTCAGACCTATGTGAGCCTACCATTACCCTCTTGACTCCTGCCTATTGCGATCATTTGTCCTATATGGCTTAGACCGCTACATTTCCCGTCCCTTATTTAGACTACTGTGATTATTGCATTTACAAGCCCGCCTCTTGTCTTGGAATTGGGAGCATTCGTCCTAGTTAGACATCTGTCCAGCAACGTGGGGGAATTATGCCTAGACAGTGTTTCTACAATCGCCAGGTCAGGTCCAGGGGTGTTGAAACTTTTGCTGCATCACTGTATGAACTAGGAAGTACTTTGCGTCATGGCGAGAATTGCGCCTAGGCGCGCCGACAGCTGAGAAAAGTGGGGCACATGGCCCAAGTCTTAAATGATAGGTTCTATTCAGGACAGTTGCATGAGAGCCCCTTACGTCGGGCCCACGATATTCCGTGCAGGACATCGCACACAAATATCGCTTGGCTATCCTCTCCCTCGAAAGGAACATCGCCGTTTCGAGGGAGAGCCGGGCTCTCTTCGGGACGGTTTCTTCCCGCCCACCACGGAAACCCTCATGTATGTACTAGATATGCTTCCGCATAGCTATTTTCCTCCTAATATATACGGAGTGCCACGGGGGCCCACCTGCAGCCCGCACAGCGCTGTAGTCCTCCGCCAACGAGGCCTACATCGCCAGGGTACAGACCGCAGGTGCCCCGTTTGGGCCAAAAATATCTCATTCGTCTCCATTTGTGCCAGTGTAGCAATGTTTGGAATAGACTATAATTTGTGCAAGCTAAGCTTTTCTTGGCTTTTGCGGGCGTAATCCCGGATCGATATCTACCACCTTGACCTCGATCCGGGTAATGTTCTGGCTCAAACCAAGTAGACCTTACCCTTAGTCTCTGCACGGAACTCCCACGTGTGACCGTCGGGACTCTATGATGATGATATTTCGGCCTGGCGGTCGTCATCCGTTTCCGCAAACTCTCGGTCGATCGCACTAACCTGCTCGAAAACCGTCTTCTTTTTTTTCCCGCGAGGAACACTTGCTGGAAACGGAACGCCCGTACACTGATCAAATCACTTTATATGCCTCTCATCCATGTTGTGTGCTCTGATTGTTCCAATTGTTGTTTCTCGTCCCACTATAAATTTCCCGGCATACCCAACCACTGCCTTGGCAACTGTGTCCCATTGCATTGCCCATTCGGCCTCGAACGAGTTTTTGACGAACAGCATTTTCAGTCCATGAACATCACGACTCTCAGCCGCCACCACTGAAAGTCAATGCCGACTCGCTTCAGCAGATGACTCGCAAGGCCAGGGCTACTATTGTTTTCCTCTTGACTCTGATCGTAGGGATCCGAAAGGAATATGATTATTCATATTTATTCATATAATAAGATGCCATACATTACCACTCGTTTCATTACATCCGAATACATCATTCATACTCAGACACTTTGTTCCATAGCGACTTATATACCTGTCTTTAATTTCGAAGCACTGAAAATTACATACATGCACCATTGGAAATACATATCTAAGACTTTCCTCTCAATAGCATCAGCCATCGCATAGTCTCCGCGTTTAGACGGTGCCTTCGGAGGCCCAAGACATCTCGAGCATTGCTGAACTCGCGTTCAATCCCGACCTCTGCCGAAGGGATGGGTAGGTAATCGCGAGCGGCTTTTGCCATAAGTGGAAAATTAAACGCGTTAGCCTTCCACCAATTTAGGACCCATTCTACGTCCGCGTCGCTGATCATGTGGTGAGACCAGTTGACCGACGGGGAATCTAAGTACTTATCAATATCCGACAAGGAGGCCTCTTTACATAGCTGGACTTTGCGCAGAGTCTTCCACATTGTTTCCGACATCCCTGCTGGACGCGGATGGTCAACTTCACATAACATAAATGGCTCTGGGGGGTATTCTTTCTTTAGAAATTCCCGCACTTGCGAGACGATCAGCCCCGAATCTTGCTCGCTCATTTAAGACACAATCAAAGATGATTTAATACGCGGATCCAACACGGAAACCACATAGTAAAGAAGGTTGTCGTCCATTTTTCTAGCAAACTTATTCATCTTCCGAATGCCTTTTTCCACCGCATCGCGAATTTTAGTATTCACGTCCTCAAAATCTCCCTCCGCATTTTGAACGTCACTTAACAAATCGTCCAAGCTCCAGTAAATCGGTAGACTTTCCAAAATTATTAAGTATGTCTTTGAAACGGAGTTTGTGTGGTCCTAGAATTAGACTGCGCCAAAGCCCACTGGGCCCATGGGCCGGGCCCAACCCAACCCCCTATGGGTTGGGCCTTGGGCCTGGTTCTTGGGCCCATTGATGGGCTATGGGCTGGGATAGAGAGCCCATTGGGGGCCCAATGGGCCTAAGTGGGCTACAAACATTACAAACATAGCTTATGCAAAAAAACGTGATGTTTTAGGGTGGTAATTTTACTACTAAAAAAAAGGATCGCTAAGAGAATCGAACTTATGCCACTAAAAATTCAACTCTAAGGATAACCACTAAGCTATTCTAACTAAGAAATGTAATTTTCCTTTATAGGAGCTATTATATAACTAAATTTCTAAGGTATTTACAATTTTTAAGATTAATACCCTATATATCACGTGATTTATAATACTATGTTTTAGATATGTAAATAGCCTATTTATTAAGGTAATTTTTGTATCTAGTTAGATAATTGTATTTTAAATAGATATATATATTTATAATACTAATAAAAAAAAGGAATTTATTAGATTTAGTAATATTAAATAAAATACATTATTCTTTAGAAAATATAGGTCCATCGTAGGATATATATATATATATATATATTACCCTAGGTGTCAGGATTTTAGGTGTCTGCATTTATAACTGCAGATTTCTAGAGCTTCCAATTCAACATGGAAGTTCCCGCTGAAATTCCCGTTCTGCCATTTCTCACCGCCTTTATCTGATCTTGCAGTTATCTCTCATTTATCTCTCACTTTGCTCTCACTTCAGCCTTTACTATGCTTTCTCTTTCCATTTGCCTACCGGACCGAGGTTATTAGGCCTATCTTGTCTATAGCCGCGGGTAACAACACGTTTACCTACCTCGGGTAACAGCACGTTTACCTACCTCGGGCAATAGCACGTTTACGGCAAGATTACCTCGGGCGAATATTACCTTAGGTAATTAGCCAGATGAACTGAATATTTGTCTATAAATATAGCCTAGAAACCAGACTAAATAAAACAAGAGCTTTCATCTCAATTATTCTCTTACTACCTTTCTCTCATAAAGGCAGACTAAAGAGACCCTTTATCTTTATCTACATCCATCTTCCTGGGGTAAGCTACTACGCCGCAGTAGTAGCCGACCTCTACGGGAGGTAGTATTTCTCTCTACAAATATTTGTCCTAAGGACTGCCCTGCCGCATAGGGACCCTTAGGCATTTATTTATCTCTCTTATTTTCATATACTACCAATCCCGACACTAGGATACTAAATATATTTATATTTTATATAATACTAAACTATATCTATAGATCTTATATATAAATATACTATATATTAATATAAATCTATAAAGTATATATAAAAAAAGCTAGAATACAGTGTATTAGAGAATACAAATGCATTATTTATAAGCGTATTAATGTACATTAAGACCTAGATTTTATGCAAAAATGGGCCTAAATGGGCCTAAATGGGCTGAAACCTTCGGCCCATCGTGGGCCGTGGGTTGGGTTGGGCTTTTAGTTCAGGGCCCATGTATGGGCTTTGGCGCAGTCTACCTAGAATGGCTTTAGGATCTTGGCTACTTACTAAAGTATCGACTATTCGTCATCGGTAAGCTAGAGGGCCTAAACTTCTGGATATATCTGCGCAAAATGCCTCAGCTCAGTTTGTAACCAAAGCGCATCTTGAATCATGATATACGTCGAGTTCCATTAGGTGTCAACATCATAGCTAACTTATTTTCTAGGTGATACTTCTTTCCAATTTTGGCAGCGCTGTGGGCTACGGGCGATCCACAGTGCTAGAAGTCGTATTTTCATGATTGCTCCTTTCGTGCTGTGAAGGGAGTTGAATGCTGGGCTAGTATAAATGACCATATCGTCCAGTATCACCTTTGCTTCTCGAGCTAAACCAGCCCTTAAAGAAGCTAAGATATCTTTGCAATTTAGGTTGAGGATATAGGCAAGGCAAGGAATAAAGCTCTATCGTCCGCGGAAACGCATTAGAGGCCTAATACGAAAGCGGTTATCGTCATTATCGTACCTCTTAAGGAGCTAGTCATGCAGGCTATCGCAGAGCGTCCCGTTATTGGCCGTATTATCCCCTATGATGGTCAGGAGCTTTGGCGCGATGTCCAGTTCGGCGAGCATCTTCAACACAACTTCCGCTAGATTCTCTCTAGAATGCGGTCCATTAATCTCGGTGAATTCGAGAAGTTCATCTCGCTTTTCAAACTCGGGGGTGATCCAATGACCAATGATGCCCATTATCGTAATCTGATTTTCCAACGTCCAAACGTCAAGAGACAAAGCGAGTGTGCGGCAGCTCCCCGTAAGCTCCTCTTTCACGTAAGCCCTATTTGAATGGAATTCCTCTTTAATTCGGTTGAAAAGAGTATCAATAGCCTTGATGGGCAAAGAAGCCCCCGTTGCTTCAATGAGTGCCTTGAAAGCCAGATGCTCCACCACTGTGAAAGGCTATCTAGTTTGAATAACCCATCGGACTAGCATTTCTTCAACGCCAGCCTTCTTTCTCGGCGACTCCAAGAACCGATCGAGGCTTCCTGCGGCCGTGGGTAAGAAGATGGAGTCGGCCCCAGACTTAATACGATGCTTAGTCTAGAGATGCACCAACAAATTCGAAGTGGAACCATAGCGCGCCGAATCTCTAGAGGACCAACTACAATGTTTGCAAATCAGCAGTCGGTCTTTTTTCAGTAGGCCACCCTGCCGACACCAAGTGCTATCCAGATCTATGGTCTAAAAGTGCTCAATAGTCCAACTAGAGTACGACTTGGTTTTTCACCTTTTATACAGGTGCGGATTACTCGTATTGCTCCTGCTTTCCGAAAACGCAGGATCAAGCGGGGAGGGCGAAGAGCTAGGCAAATAATAAGACTACTTCGTCTAAGGCGTGTCTTCGGTGTTCCTAGATAGGGAGGGCTCAGGAGAGTAAGGGCATCCTGTCTCACAGATAGATTCCTCAGACCGCTCCGAAGGTGACGAAACTAGGCCATTATATAGAGCATTATAGTCTCGACGTGGAAGACCACGCGTCCTCCGCATGGGCGGATTAGGTATAGACGCCATACTACTGTTTCCTGGTATCAGTATATCAAAAGGAAATCGACGGCAATGCATGGCATACCTAGAGCTACCTGGGCTGGGGTTAGAAATTGATAGGAGACTTGAAAAAAAGATGATGGTTGACAAGCCCAGTCATGTTCGCGCTTTATATACCTTTCCTGAAGTGAAAAGTTGATAGATCTCTTTCCTGTTTTTTGCAGCGCGATATTGACGATCCTGAACGTAAACAAATGCAGCCAAGATCATTAGAGGCTCTGGGTTGTGAGGCAAACGCGTTTTTACGTGCCATTTCCTAGGGCTACTTTGTGCACCAAGTTTGAAATGATTTGGAGTGGAATCAGGGAACTGAGTGTTGGAAATTGGAGCCCTCATCCTAAGACGCCAACATCGGTCGGCATCTCTCTGCCCCGATGGCTGCTGATTGGTCAGCCAGGCCCATGAGGCTATTGAATTGGGCGCCCGTATATGCAGGATTCTCATCTATATCACCTTCTTTGCTTGTTCCAGAGGATGTTCTTTCATGGACCACCGAGCAGCGGTGTAGGAGAACATGTTTGTATGTATTTCCCTTAGAAAACAGTTCTCAGGAATAGGATATAAATATCCCCCTGAGAACGAGCAGAAAATATTATCAAAATTTACCATCAATTACCGGTCCATCTTCTTTTCATCTGATCATCTACCCCTTTCTTTCTCAACAGCTTCTTCCAGTTGATACCTGGATAACTATCAGTCTATCATAAAAGCTCCAATTCGCTGATAGCGTGAGAGGCAGCTTATCTTTCTATTCGCTCCAGGTGCGCCAGATTTCGTCCATATTATGCCTGATGGATCTGCTCAATGTATGACGCACTATGATTATCCTACTGTGACACTTCGGCAGGCCTCCAAATACGACATTAAGAGCCTGTTGGTGTGCTGCCCGCGCCTCCCCCCCCCCCCCCCTACCAACAACCACGACCGTAGAATAAGAGCAAAATCCAACCTAACGGTCCTTCATGAGCATCTGCAATTTCAAAACGAAAGGCGGCATATCCGAGTCTATCTGATCATAGAGCCGGTTCTCTCAGAATCCCAGCACTGGCTTGGCGTCAGCACCCTGTTGGATAGCAACTCGAACGGAGTCTGTACGCCCTCGAATGGGGAACTTCATACTACCCGGCTTAGCGAGGAGCTATTCGCGGAGTTACCACCGTAAAATAGCACTTTGCTCGTCTCTTCACCTTCTGGGGAGTAGACAAAATCCAAAGGTATATTATAGCTGCACGCGCTTTCTTGTCCTATTGCACATGTACTATTTCCAAGGCTGCCGCACGAGTGACATAATTCTAATCAGGTTGGGGCCAGACCTGTGTCCTAAAATTTAATGCATGTGAGCCGGGTCTTTGAATCAGGATTTTTGCTTCCCGCGATCGGGTACCATAACGGAACAGGAATTGAGTTTGCGCCACCACATCTAACGTCTGCCCCTCATTAAACTAAAAATCCTTATCAAGATAGTGCGATAAGAACAATCAAAGATAAAACCTACTATTGGATCGCTCGGCCCCACTGAGCGACGGCGTGACGTACCAAACCATGCAATCACTTACGCCATACACCTAATGTCTGCACAGTATACATGTATTCAAGTAAAATAAACGCCGAAAATTGCTCTACTATTCGGATTAGTCGGAAGACCCAGAAAGTATACTTAACCAAGCCACTCAGGCAACGACTGTCCAGTGTGACTTCGTAGCCTTGGGCATGTGGGTAGGTCACGACTTGCTGGTAATGTTGCCCGTGGTCCAATTTGAAACCGGGGCAATTTCCCGGTAAAAGCGGGAAGAATCTTAGTAAGATATTATAGCCTTGATAACTTAAAGCGCTAGAGTTCGAATTGTCATGAAGTTAGTCTGACGTAACAAATTATTGTCTCTTGTCGGAGCACGTAATATAGGGGCCAATCAGCGGTGAAAAGAACTCTATTGCTATACTGTACCCCTGAATCTGGCAATTTATGGGGGTTTCTGATTATATAAGAAATAATTACTTCGGATCATCCAATAATCCGGTCTCCATAGGCTGTTCGTTCCGACAATTTCTTATGTAAATTAATGGGAACCACCCCCAAGATTTACCGCGGCTCGTGCTACCCGCCTTGGACCGGTAAGACTAACAGATCAAGGCAACGCCACAAAATCGCAAAGGTTCAGCGGCATTAAATAAGAACCAGTCAGGTCGAGTGTGGATGTGAACGTCATAGGATTACTACTGGCAGTATTATAGCGGTAAAGCATGGTGATTCCCCGTTTCTCGGTCAATAATATTAAACTATCTGACCAGGGTCCGGTAATTAAGCAGACGCCAAAGTTTTAGTACCAAATCCAGTTGATGCGATTTACCCCCTATCCATGGATAAATGAATCTTGCCCTCTCTTCTTTTGTCCATCAAGGTTTGCGTCAATTTGATCACTCCCAGAATTGGGAACTAACCGACATTCATATGCTATAAATCAGGTTCTCCAGGTGTTCGTGTAATGTGTAGTGAGAGGTCCAGTACCCTCCCCCCATCTAATCGCGCGAGGAATGACCTCCCACCTCGGCCACGACCTAAGAGAAATGTACGCACGGCAGGAGGATTAAAACAAGAAACAGTAAAGGTATGAGGACATTTATCCTGGATTATTCGCGTCAGACTTTTAGTAGCACAAAGTACTGACATTAGCAAAGTAACGGAAGCGTCGGACGCTAAGGCAAACTAAGACACGAATTGTTCACCTCCAGCACAGGAAGATCATCCTCTTATCTCGAGAGTTGCGTTGATAACATTGACGGCTAGAGATAGAGACAAATTGTATTCGACAAAATCATCATGGCTTAGATGTGAGGTTCGCCAATTCCTCTTTGAAGAGAAGTTTAAAGACAACGACAAGATATACTTCTTCATTGTGGCGATCTTTGAACACGTAGCGAAGCGTGTGGGTCCTCTCACTCACATACTTCAGTACTTTGATCTTGATCCCAGGTAGCTTGAGGACTACCCGGTTTGGGTCGAAATATGGATTGTAAAAGTCGGCAAAATATTCGCGTCCTTTCTCAAGGTTGAACCCTTGGCGATTCATAGGCGAAAGGAAATATTTCCTACGGCCTTTAGAGTCCGATGGGATTCCTAGATCCTGACGAATAGCATACCCGTCACCATCCCCTCCTTCTTCGACCACAGGTCGCTTAGCTAGGGTTGATATGGTTTCAGGTGATCTCTGTGACCAGCCACCGTTCGATACCTTGTGTCGATGCTCGCCAACTCGAAACACAAAAAAACAACTCAAAGCGGGCCCATAGGACCAGGGCCGGTTCGAGTAAGCATCGCAATTAATTCCCGGGTCTATAAATGTCTTCGCAATCTTGTAGGCGATATTGAAGCCTGGCGGCAGTTGATCGCGAATGGGATGGTCGAAGTCGTTGCCCCACACCAGATCCTTCGAGTTGATACTTTTCTTCGGGATAAATGAGAAAGAAATCGAGTAAAAATCTCTCAGGTGTCTTTCATGGTCAAAATAAATAGAGGTTTTGGGAGATTCAGAGGGTAATCCCTCGAAGTCCCTTATTCTGATATGCAACTGAATCGACATATGAGCACCGTCGATAAAAAATGGTTCCGGATCGTTGACTGTAACGATTCGATGAGTCGACTGTTCGTATGATGGTCCCGCCATAACTAGCAGCTTATACTCTTGCTTGTCTTGTATATTGCGCGCCATTTGGATTTGGAACACCATGTATGGATTCTAATTTCCCAGGAAGACAGAGACCGTAAGGAACGGTTTTATAAGGTTTTAGAAAGAGGATTATGCTAAGGAAAACCATAGAGTTTCGGTTACTTCGGATATGACAACATATCCGTACTTTACAGCACATGGTTTACGGAATGATGACGACCAGCGGAGTTACCCGCAGATCCGTATGTGCTTACGTACCGAGTTTTCTCTGCTAGGTGGGCCTTTCTGTTTAATTGCCGCCGCTTTTAACGTATTCAATAGTGAGCTTCCACCACTGGCGCAGCAGCAGGCCTATTACTAATCAACCCAGAACGTGTGCTTTCGAAGCTTAATATATCGCTACATACACGTACATCCTCTGGTAGCCGGCCAAGCAGCAGATCTAGCGTTTTGACACCAAAAACGCCTAGAACGGCTATTCAATAGAGAAACAGGCTATAGCGCTCAAAGATCTACTCAAGCAACGTTCTAAAAGCCCACCGAGTCCAACCAAAGCTATAATTGACCAAATCATCAAAGGCCACTATCTTGCTTTGCATAATACAGCACTACTCGCGAAGGAAGTTGATGATCTACGTACGCATAACGAAAAGAGACGTCAGAAACGTACACGATCATTTAAGCAGATAGCATACCAAGGTGGGCCTTACAGTCACTGAGGCTCGCAGGCCCTACAGCCTTCTACACAGGCTATAGAGCGCGTTCAATCACCTACGCCTATAGCTGTTCAACAGCCTATTTTACTACCTCTGCCGGCTAAATGCGCTCAACCAAGGTGTAGTAGGTGTGGAGATATAGGGCATAAGATCAATTCATGTGAAAATCGATAGTTTTTAAATATACTATGGCGTTTTGGTGGTAAAAACCCTGTTTAAAGATGTAGTGGGTAGATAGGTGACCGGGTGGACTGGATGACCGGATCGACCGGGAAATACGTAACTTTACGTCATGACTACTTACATCATAAAGACCGGACAGCCCCTTCCCACGTTTAGAAGCATTCGAGGGTTGTTTTAAGGACATCGGTTCCCTAAGTGCAGACGGCCAATCTTCCACGATGATTTTATGCTACATGCTATCACTCTGGTATCGGGTTTTCCACGGCTTTCTCTTTGCTTACCGTCAATTCTTCGTTCATCCCCCATATCCAATAACCTACTGGACTGGAAAGACAGTCATCGTTACCGGTGGAACGAGCGGATTAGGCTTGGAAGCAGCTTGCCACTTTGTACGCCTGGGTGCGGAACAAGTCATCATAGCTGCTAGACATCCGGACCGAGCCGAACAGGTCATTGGTTATGTTTCCAGAACTGTCGGAAGACGTGATTGTGTCGTTTTGTGGCCCTTGGATTTATCATCCTACGAGTCGGTTATCGCGTTCGCGCTAAAAGCCCAGGATGGAGTAAATCGGATAGATGCGGTAGTAATGAGCGCAGCAATGGCCTCTCCGATGTTCCGAATGGCTGAGAAGGACGAAGCGACCATCACAGTAAACGTTATAAATACGTTCCTGTTAGCCTTCTTGCTGGCCCCGAAGCTCAAAGAAACCGCGGAACGTCACCGAACCCGACCTCATATATCGTTTGTGGGAAGCGAAATCATGTTTCAGACATCCTTCCCTGAGGCGGACGCGCCGTATCTGCTCGACGAACTGAATGATAAGAACAGAGCGCAGATATAGACGCGATACCATGTTAGTAAGCTTATGGTGGCGATGGTTTGTCGAGAGGTATTTGCCCGACACCAGGAGCATTATCCCCTTGTAATCAACTACTTGAACCCTGGTCTCTGCCGCTCGAACCTGCTACGCGATTTGCCTGCTGCAACAAAACTTGTCCAACTTGCCCTTGCTCGGTCGGGAGAGGAAGGCGGAAGGCTTCTTGTACACGCGGCATCCGCAGGAAAATCCTCGCATGGCCAGTATTTGAGTGATGCTAAAGTAGAGGATCCGCCGGAGTTGCTCCTGACCAAAAGAGGCGTGGCGATCCAACGAAGGCTCTGGGACGAGTTATCGGAAAGACTCGAATCGATTCAGCCAGGCGTTATGAGCAACCTCTAAACCTATACTACCTGATTACATTGCCATTTGCCACGATTACCTTTGCGCACACAAACGGAAGACTAGACTTCGCCAAAGCCCACGATTGGGCCCAGAGTCCGGGCCCACGGCCCAACCCGCGTGGGCTTTGGGCTCAACCCTCCGGGCCCGAGCCCAACCCATAGCCCACTGCGGGCCCCCAATGGGCCCCCTCGAAAGCCCAACTTTTCATAAAATCAAGGTCTTGGCGGTCATAAAGCTGCTGATTCACCTAAATAAAATACTGTACCTTACGCCTGTTTTAGTCACTACTATAACTTCTTCAATATTTAATGTATTAACACCCTGAAATTAAGAGAAATTTACTGGTATTCTAATATAATAGATTCAGTAATAGTTTAATTACTAGATATAAGAGTAAAAGAATCATAGCCTTACGCTGTTAGTAGGATATTTGAGGAAAGGTGGGGGGTGGTTGCAGGAATATATATTTAACACAACGTGGTTTAAATATATCTTTATGGATGATCTCAAGAAATCTTTATTACTTTACTTTCCAACGTACGCTTAATAAGTTCTGGAAGCTTTGGCACTAGTATTCTGACGACTGTCAGAAAATAGAGTGCAATTCGATATAGTGTCGAATCGTATAAGGTATACTATAGTTTCTGCTTCGATCCTTTGCGGTTCGGGTTCTACGCGGTTCGATATTAAGATTAATTAGGCTCTAGATGGGCTTTTGCGGGCTTTCATGGGCTTCTGCGGGCTTTCATGGGCTTCTGCGGGCTTTCATGGGCTTCTGCGGGCTTTCTGTGGGCTTCTGCGGGCTTTCTGTGGGCTTTTATGGGCTTTTGTGGGCTTTCTGTGGGCTTTTGCCGGCTTTCTGGGCTTAACCCTCTAAAATAAGCAAGCATTAACCAATCATATAGTATTAACCAGGCTTAGCGGGCCTAGTTTCCGATGTATCAATATCCTTGATTAATTATTGTTTTGTAGGTCTACAGACGACTGGCGTCCTAAAGATTTTAAGTATGTTCTACTCACACTGTCCTCACTTTCCCCTTACCGTTTTTTTGCCTTACAGCTATGTCTCAGAGTCAGAATTCTGAGGTTTTCTCTTCATCTATCTATGAGAGTGATATTAATAATATTACTTACCTTACTCCTGAGAACGCGCAGTTATTCACACCTGATCCTTCGAGCAGTCAGCAGATATTTGATTCCTTTGATACTGAGTTTCTTCGACCACCTCCTCTTCCTCCTACGATACCTCCCTCTCTCACCCTTGTTGGTCCTGGTCGAAAGAAAGGCTTTGCTCTCTATGACATAGAAATGCATTCTGAGTGGGTGAACTGGTGGCTCGAGACTGGCTATAGGAAGTCAAGCAAGATACGATGGGACTCAGTCCACCTCTCAGACATCTGGAAGCAATTTCATCAAGTAGCTAATACCTCTGATGGTGCACTAAAGGTTATGTGTAAACGCTGTGGTCAGATTCTTGAGCATCCCTATTCTTTTAAGCTAGGGGGAACAGCTCGGCATGGAACCTCTACAATACTAAGGCATATCAAAAGCGCTAGCTGTCTAAGATCTTCCAACAATAGCGCACAGAAATCTGGCCTAACAAAGTTTATACAATCAAAGGTAAGTGATTATCTCCTGATTTTGATTTTATCTTACTCTCCCCTAGGGTTCAATAATAGCGAATAAGAAAAGCTTTACCCAAGAGGCTTGGGAAGAAAAGCTTCTTATCTTTCTTACTATTGCTCGTCTTCCATTTCAGCTCATTGAACATCCTGAGTTCTTTAGCCTCATTCAACTCGCCCAATCCGCTTCATCAATGCCAGATATTCCCTCCGCAAAGACTATTCGTCGTCGGCTACAAAGCTCTGTTCAGCTAAGACAGCAGGATATCCTCCGAAAGCTTCCTGATAATACAAAGCTTTCAATTGCACTTGACTGCTGGACCTCCCCATTCTCTTAGGCATTTATGGCTATAAGTGGCTACTTTATTACTGAGGATTGGCAGTGTTGTGAGGTCCTTCTTGGGTTTGAACCAATTTATGGAAAGCACTCCGGTGCTAACCTAAGCGCAGTTCTCTTGGGTATTCTACAGAAGCATCAAATCCAGAACCGAGTACTTGCAGTGACTACTGATAATGCTTCAAATAATGATACTTTGATAGCTGAATTACAGAAGTCACTCCCAGAGGATACTACGCTGATTAGGGTTCCATGTCTTGCTCATGTTATTCAATTAAGTTTGAATGATTTACTTGGACATATGAAAGCGATTCCGATTAATGACACCACTGATACTCAGTGGACAGAGCAGCGATCTCAGTCTGCCCGGGCAAACACAAAGAAAGGAGATATTGCTACTACTCTAAGTAAGGTAAGATGCTTTCACCTAACTTTCCCTTCACTATAATATAGTACTAATATCTAAAATAGGTTCGCAACCTTGCTATATTCATTAATGCAAGCCCTCAGCGCCGGGAGACCTTCTTCACACTCCAGCCAGATGCTACAAAGCTTGTTCCAATCCAGGATGTGAAAACCCGCTGGAACTCCACATACCTAATGCTTCGACGTGCAAGAAGACTTCAGTCAATCTTTATACCCTTCTGTAATGAATGGGATCGAAGTGATCTTCAACTGAATGATGAAGAGTGGCGCCAGGTTGACTATCTTCTTTGGATTACGCAACCTTTCTACGAGTTTACCACTGAGCTCTCAAAGACTAAGGATGTGACTTCCCATCATGTCTTTAGGATATACAACCTCCTCTTTGAGCATCTTGAGCAGTCGATCTCTCAGCTAGCAAGAAAGAAGGCGCGATGGAAGAAAACTATGCTTCAAGCGCTACATGCTAGCCGGGCAAAGCTAGACTACTATTACTCTATGACAGATACCATCCGTGGTGATCTTTATGCAGTATGCACTATGCTGGCGCCAGAAAATAAGTTTAAATTCTTCCAAACCAAGGACTGGGACGATGAGTGGCGCACAAGATACAGAAAAAGCTTCAAGGACTTCCTAGCACCCTACCAAGAATATGTTACTGGGCAACAGTCCTCACCTATCTCTTAGGGTTCTCTTAGAAAAGGCTCACGCCTCGGACTCTTGCTTAACAAGCGCAAGCCTCAGTTAACTGAACCAAAGGATGAAGTCATAGGATATCTTGATACTGGTATGTTACTTACCTTGTTTTATCTATAGGAGTACTAATATATTCTAGAGCCTATAGACTCCTTACCTCTTGACTTTTGGAAAGCTCACCAGCAAAAATACCCAGCAATTGCTGCCCTTGCAAGAGATGTGCTTTCAGTCCCTGCGACTGGTGCTGGGGTTGAACGGCTGTTCAATACTGCCCGAGATATCTGTCACTATCGCCGAGGTAGATTACATGCAGTAACTATCCAAGAGCTAATGATGTTTCTCTGTGTATCAAAGTTTGATATAGATGAGGAGCAGGCATCATTTCTAGCTGACTCATTCTCTCAAGATGATATTGAAGCAGCAAAAGAGGAAAAGGAAGAGATGCCAGATCAGTTTGAACTTGATCCAATCAGTGATAGTGAGGAGCGCGCCCAGGAAGAGAGAGAGGGAGACACTAGTGATTCTTCTGAAGATGCAGTTCTCGCTCTGCCAGTCCCTGAGGAGGGAAGCACTCAAATACGTCAGTCAGTTCGATCGCGGAAGCGTCCTCGGCAGGAGGACGATCAATGGTCATATCATTAATGATTGACACTATAGCGAAATCAAGCCTATTTTCTGACGGCCGTCAAAAAAAGCTAGTGTTAGAGCTCCTAGTCCCTAACCCCTTTTCCGAGTAAATTCTGACGGCCGTCAGAATTCTAGTGCTATAGCTTCAAGAATTCATTGAACGTATAAGCAAATGATTTGGCACTAATTAGATTAGTCCCTTTAGAACTAGTAAGCTTCTAAATGTATACCTTTAAACTAAGGCTTCCATTGAAGAAAATTGAGAGTAAAGTAAAGGAAATACTCAAAAAAACAGGCGAAAACTGCATAAATTATGCAGTCACGAGTCTCTGCTTTGTTTGCATTGTTTGGGGCCCATCGTGGGCTCAAAAACTGGGCCCAAAGCCCAACCCATTTGCGGGTTGGGTTGGGTTGGGGTCGGGTTGGCGTGGGCTTTGGCGAAGTCTACGGAAGACCACGTCACACTATTTCGGTGCTCTTCCGGATTTTTGAGACATCTATGGCCGGGAGGAAGTACGAAAGAAAAAAGGACCGACGAGTTATCCAAAGCCTTAAGCATCAGGAGGCACAACCGAGAATTCTGTTTACTCCTGCGTCCGAACCAACAGTAGTCGACTCCTGCCATGTCTACTGGGTGCCTTTGGAGGCTCCGCTTTATAGTTTCTGTAAGCACTATAATCAACGACGGGGATATTTGCTACGGACGACTCGGTATCCGCGTAGGTGTTTGTTGCTTTTCTCATGCTGGAGTGAGTCGCAGAAAGGGCATCCGCAGACATGTCCTATCGGCTCCATTATCTCAGGTTGTTGGCAGGCGACTATGGGTTGGTGGCACTTAACTAAGGTTTTTGCTTAAATATAGAGAAAAAGTGGGGCGCTTGAGTGCATCCCATTTAGGAATAACGGTCGGACAT